AGTGAAGCGATGTGTTCGTGTAAGAAAAATATTCATATTTAAAACTTTATGGATTAAAATAACTAGCTTCCAGCAGACGGCCGTACGCATCGATTAACGGTGGAAGAGTAACACTTGACCAGACGAATGACGTAATGACAAAACGCAGAAGTGCAGAGGATCGAGCAAAACAAAACACCAGTCATGAATTACAAGTCTAAAACGACAACTTTTAAAGAGAAATGTGGGAGGAGCTTGAGTTTGTTGCCCAGCCCTGTTTGTTTGAACCACCAGCGGCGTCAAAGCTTACGCTACTCCTACATCTACGTCATTCATCGCGTCAAGTGTTACTCTTGTGGCGTAAGTCGACTTGCGTAGGTCGTCTGCCGGAAGCTAGTTATTTTAGTCGATAAAGTTTTAAATATGGATATTTTTCTTACACAAACACATCGCTTCACTTCAGAAGGCCTTTATTAACCAGCCAGAGCTGTGTGGATTTACTTTTATCATGGATGGATGCACTTTGATGGACTTCAAAACAGAAACAACCATTCACTGCCATTATCAAGCTAAAGAGCCAGGACATTTTTTAATATAACTCTGATTGTGTGCGTCTGAAAGAAGAATGTCTGGGGTGGGCCCGATTTCAAAGATATTGAAATTCAACTCAAAAGCAGTTTATTCAGCACACAGATGCATCTTCTCCATTGACTTCAAACAGAATAGCATTTATCACTTTATGCATTAAGCTTTTTTTCTTTTCTTTTTTTGCTGACTTGGAGTGAGCGATTTGAGTAGAGTGATTCTGAATTTCCATCCCTCTAAATAAATGTAAACTCATTCAAATTATTATTACTTTGACTTTCCACCACTGTTTCTAGCCACTGATGTTTTTGAATCATGTTCCGATCTCCTTGGAGTGTTTTCATGACTTTATATTGAGAAATATACGTATACAAACTGGATTTACTCACTTTTTGCAGGGTTTCTTGGTTTTGGTCCTTTTCTTCCTCGCCTGAAGTGCAAGTACTGTCAGAGAACAGAATAATTTATTTGAGCACGCAAATAATAATCTGCAAGTAAGCATGACAGTCTTCTATGTTTGTTACAGCTGAAATGAATATCTTTTATGTTATGAGACCAGTATTAGGTCATTATTTTTTATGTCGCACCAAAACCATTACCAAAACATGGTAATCATAGTTTTCGGTTACACTTTATTTTGATGGTCGACTTTAGAAATTGTACGAAGTTACGAACTATGAGTAACTTTACAAATAACGTTAACGTTACATGTCATTCATTCGCAACTAACTTACTCGAATTATTACTACTGTTAGTTTTGGGGTTCGGGTTAGAAGAATAACTGACATGTAACGTTACTTGCAAAGTTAAGTTTAAGTCAAAAGTGGACCATTGAAAATAAAGTGTTAACATACCTAGTTTTCAAAGATAACACACTAACGTTACGTTACTACAGATAATACGTTACAGTGGTGACTTCATTTGAACCAAAACGGTCATCAACAATATGAAACAAAACGACGGAAAAATATTTGAAAGCTTATTATATTGTTCCAATATTCCCTAATATTTAGTTAAAGTTTTACAGTAGTCAATAATTTGGCGGTAACCATGATCAGTAAAATATTTTAATTGATTCATTTGTACATTTTGGCGGCTTTATCAGTTTGTACTGTTAGCATTTTGACGACCCAAACAACATCAAAACGAGAGTTTTCAATAATCACAGCACTGATTTACTCTCATTAAAATAAACACTTTTACCATAAACATATCGTATTTTTTTAAACGAGCCAAAACAAGAGAAAGTTCAGCTAGCAGAAGCTCACACGAACGAGGCTACAAGAATAACGTTATAACAACAACCAACAGCAACTACAATCAGAAACGCGCAACATATACCTATAAATAAGCAACAAACGTCCAGATATTCCGTGTAATATGAGCAGATGTTCATGTACGTTAAAGCTGGAGTAACGTTACTGTTGTTAACGTTACATTAGCAGCAGCTAAACACACATGGGCTTTGTCTCTGTCAAACACACTAACGTTAGCACCTCTCATAGCGCGCCTGTTCACAACACGGATATGATTCAGTCTGGGTGCGATGTTTATTTCTATTTACATGTGTACTGTTGATACAAACTATTTTGGAGGACAGTAATTAAGTCGTTTTGATGCTCACCTTTCCTTTCCATGCTGCACCGGCGGCTAAGAGCTCAGAATCACTCACATGTAACGGTCCCGCGCATGCGCACAAAACTTAACAAACAACAACTGAACCAAACAACAGAAGTACAGTATCACACCCACATGTACACACAACACGAGTCGCCCGCATAGAGAAGATGCCACAAGGTTTGGAGTCAAAAAGTCGAGTTAGGTTTGTAATAGCTGTTGCGTAAACAAGGGACCACACTTTAAATGGTCCCTTGTATAGTGTAGTATAGTATACATTCAGCCAACGACATAAAATAACTATTAAATCAGCAGGAAAGCTATTACATAGTCAATAACACAATAGTTTTACAAACAGATATGTTGTGGTAGATGTATAAGTATTGCATCATTCAGACAGAAAAGCATTCTTCTCAAATCAGGATCAGTGCAGTTTACTATTGTGACAACTTGCCCCAGACGCATGCTGTGCTATTGGGGCACGTTGTCACACATGTTCAGTTAATTTTATTTATTTATTTATTTTTTCTCAGGGCTACAATAGCGAAAAAATACTCAACACACATTGTATTCTGCATACATTTTACTCTCATCACCTTATTTTTACTCATTTCTTTGAGTTTACCTTTGGTGTCACGAGAGGTTAAAAAAAATGTCTTATAATTGCAATGGTTTGTGGTAAACTTCAATACATATTTTTATGTAACAGTATTCCACACCTTGTACTATGAGAAATTACCACTTGGTGGCAGTGTTTTCAAAGAATAGTATGTACTGATGCAACTCTACTCTTTAAAATGTAGTATTTAAATATTGTTGTAAAATATAAAACCGTTATGTGCAAAAGAAATACCAAAGAATGAGTGTTGTGAAAAATAATTGCCTTTATTTCTGTATAGCAGTGGTTGTTCACAGACCACATAACTTATGGGTGACTAAAGAAAAAAATGGTTAAATGCACAAAAAAGTGATACAATGATCTCTTTTCAATGTAAAATGGTTCCATGCGACAAACTGAAATATGTTGCTGCTCGATGCACCACTGATTGACACGTTTAGTGATTCTCCACTCCTCAGAAAACTGTAAAATGCACATAAATACACACCCCTCACATTTAACAATACATGCTCAACACAGAAAATATTGCTGAATAAAATTAAGTGATAATATACAGTGAAAAAGAAAACACCTTAAAAATAATCTTAAACACCTGATACAATAAGTTAGATGCCGGCTGCGCTTGAGAAAACACACTCGTGATGACGGTCTTCGAGTCTGGGCTGTTAAATCAAGATCAACGGAATAGCAGAGTATTGGCTCAGGTTCTTTCATTTTTGCAAACATGAACTTCCAGGCTGTACGGCTTTCCCAGGGCAAACAATAATGAAGGGGAATCATTTTAATGCAACCGTCTCTCGCTCATAGAGTTGTTCTGTTGAAATACACTTACTGTTAAAAACCTAATCCCCGCCCTTTTCACACCCATTTCTCTTAATTTACATAAATAATAAATGAAGGAAAATGGCAGGGAGAGAAACTACGCTCTAGTCTAGCTAGAGGACCAGCTGCCTTTAACATGGAGTTAACTCTGGGAAAAAGCAGGCAGATAAAAAGGATGGATCGCACAAAACCAGTCAAAAACATGTCCAAATCACATTGAACCCCAAAATAAAATAAAATACATTTTTATATAATATAAAAAGGAAGCATATCTCTAAAACCTTATGCATTTTGACATGACTTTCATGATCTTTAAAAAAAAAAAATCCATTATTCTCAATGCCGAGTCTCATTACCGCAACACAGTATTAGAGGATTTGAATTTCAAATTGAAATCTGTATTAAATAAAAGCATTACAACAAATATTATCATGATGGACAAAATAATAAATCGAATTTTTATCCACTGCATTACAGCAATGAGATTTTGTTGCATTACGGTAATGAGCACCCTGTCGTGAGGTAAAATGAATTAATCATTAATATATATTAATAATATAATAACATTATTATTGGTTCTCAAAATAGCTGTTGTTTTCTTATATTTCACTTTTTTCTTCTGATCTTGGGTTTGTATATTCTAAAGAGGATTCATGAGATTTGCCCGCTTTAATGTAAAAAATCGTGAGAATTTCCGCACTGAGCACCAATATCTACATATTTTCCCATATATATTTCAGAACAAGCATGTCTGCATGTATTGATATTTCATGACTGTTCCTGTCATCTGTTATTGATGTAGTTGGCAGAAGAACACTGCGTCCGTTTACATTCTACACACAGCACGAAATAGTAATTACAATCTCTTTACGTGTTCGGATTCACTCTTTAGTTGGTTCACTTGCTATTTATAATGCGGGTCACATTCTGTGATGTGTGCTTCGCTGCAAATACTACATAAAACTGTTGGTGCACATTATTTCCATGTATATACATCTGTGCCATTTTATTTACATATCTAAAACTTAGTATTCTGACAGTACAGAATTGTTCTGGCCTTTATTTATTGTATAGGCTGCAAGCGGAGTTTGGAAGTAAACGTTTCACTTCCCCAGAGAAAGAATATTAAATGTGTAAGAGTTTAAAATGCTTTTTTTTTTTCATGAGAATGCACATTTTTCTCTAATTTTTAAAAAAGCAGTTAATTTTACTGGGGCACAGGACACAAAACATTACATTCTCTGTGTCCTTTAGGAAAGTTTGCATGGTTTTTTCCCTCTTAATTTGTATGAAGGCATGGATAAGAACACGGGGAAGCCAGCACTTGATGATGGCAGGCACTTGAATGTCATTTTCCTGTACGGTTGAAGGTCCTTCGTGATTCTCCTCACGACTCCATCTCGTCTCCGTCGAACATCGGAGGCTCGAAGCTCACCACCGCCTCGTACGTGAGCCCTGTGGGCAAAGACACCGACTGTTGAAAGCACTAGCAACAAGAGCAAGCGCTACATCACGGAGAGGTCGTTCAATAAAATGTCGTCTCTCTTGAGAAATCGAACGCGCAGGCTTACGTTTCCACTCTTCGATCTCTAGATCGCGGCTCTCGAAGCTCTGGTCGTACGGGTCTGCCTCGGGCTCGTCGTCTGGGTCGTGATACTGGGAGAAGTACGGGTGCGCGAGAGAGTCTGACGCGGTGATCCGTTTATCCGTGTCCAGAACCAGCATCTTCTCCAGCAGGTCCACAGCTGAGACACAAAACACAAGCAGCATTTATAAATCACAGAAGGGTTTATGCGCGAGTACAAAAAAAATACTAGAAATTCTTGTATCATTATTTGTGTCTTAATGGTCACATTTGATTAATTTAATGCATCCTTGCTGAATAAAACTATTAGAGTCTTAAAAAAAAAAAAAAAAATATTCACCCCAAAGTTATAAGTAGTGCATATTAATCAGAATATATTGATTTTATTTTTTATATTTCTAATAGTTACAAATTGGGTGGTCAGTAGAATAAAATAAATGTGATTAATGACTTTTGACTGAAAAGAATGGTAATGACTCTGTAAATATGTTAATTACTCTTAACGTCACACATTAACTTTGACAAATGCATTTCTCGAGTCATGTGGGCCGGTTCTGAAAGATGTCTGGATCTCTCATCCGAATGAGTTTCAGTGGAACGGGGGTTTTCATCATGGGTTGGCCATGGGTTGTATAGAAAGGCAGAATTATTACCTAATGGATTTGCACCAATAAACACATCTGCAAAGCTCCTTTTGGGCATGTGCGGAAGAGAGTTGATGTAGTTCCTTGCCTGTTGATTAAAAAAATAACATTAAAGGATTACACGATTATTAAGGAGTCAAAATAAGGACTAATTGAGGGCAAAGTAAAGCAAACAAAGATGGCTAAGAAAAAAGCATGACAACAATAGAATCCTGCAGGGATGACGGATTTTTGAAGGCCGAAACCCGGGAACATGTTAGCATTTGAACGAGTCCAGTCCCGAAGTCCCGAAGTCAATGAGTTTTTGGTTAAATGCCTGAAATAAGGTCTGTGGTGAACACAAGATCAAGATATTTTCATGTTTTATTCTACAACATAAAACGCATCACTAAAACCCCGCTTGTGAATATTTGAAAGCTAACTTGCCTTGAAAAAAGCGATTGTTAACAAGTGTTTAAATGGGTCTACAAAGTAGAGTAAAAGTTCATCCACTTTTTAAACTATTATAACTTGAACTTTCAGGGAAAATAAAGAGTTGTGGGAAGCTTAGTGATGGTGCCGTTGAAGTCATGTGACTGTGTTGTAGTTCGTTTAGCTTTTTACTTCTACCAATTGAATTCAAGTCGTGTTCATTTGTAAAGATTATCATGGTAAACAAAACATGCAAGAATTATGAACTTTTGTTGGTCACAGAGCTTATTTTCTGCAATGAAAAAAAAAACCTACCCTTTTTTTTGTGAGGGAACCAGGGTGATGCGAACTTACGGGATGGCCTACAAAAATTCATAATCACTACAGCGCTCTATTCATACTTTGCAGTCACGTGACTACCATGGATACCTGGCGGGCAACAAACGGGTATTAGAGTCCTGTAGTTCCAGGTCTTATCAAGTGTGCCGCACAAGCCCTCAAAAGTGAAGCCAAAACGTCTCGATCGCCCCCCAGTGAGCGGTCCTAGTATAGGTCATAAACCCCGCCTCCCCGTGTTATTCAACAGGACGTGAGACCAACTAAACAATTAAATTACACTTCACATATCCTTTTTCCAAAGATAGTTTCTGTCATTTACTGTAGTTTCTATCACGTTGATGTAATTTCAAGTGTTTGTTTTTAAAATAAGTTTGTTTTTAGTTAGTTATTTGATGCTATAAAAACGGTGCTGTGACATCATGATTGACAGCTGTGATTGACAGGTTCTCTGTGCGAAGTAGTCACTGAAGCACCAACGGACTTTTTTTTCATAATGTTGACTATGTGGTTTAGTTGTATTTACCTTATTTTAACGAGGTACTGCAATCAGCAGACATCATTGGAGAGGAACGGAGCAGACAGAGGCCACTTAAGAAAAGTGCAGGGCGTGTGCTTGCGATTGATTCCGCGAGAGTTAAGGCCTCATTATGCTTCTGCGTCAACTCCACGGCGTAGCTACGCCGTCACTCCTACGGCGTCGTGGCCGTTTTATGGTTCTGCGTCAGGTTGCGTTGCATCGCGGTGCATTTCACCGCCAGCACGCAAGGGGGGTATGTGCTTCGCGAATCTCTTTGCTAGTTTGCCGGTTCCGCTTTCGTTTCCATTACCCTTCAAATTGCGCAAATTGAAATTGCGAATTGAAAATACGCACAATGGAACCACGTCCATTTCGCATAAACTCCCGTTTATCGCAAAAAAATATTTTACGCTGGCATGAGGAGGTTTTTCAGGCAATTCGAAAAAGGAATATTTAGCAAAACTGCAATGGAAGGTTTTGCGCATTTACAGTCACCTGACTTAGAAGACGCGGTGTGTTTGGGGTCCATGTCCGCAAATAATAATAATAATTATCATCATTATTATAACATTTATTAGGCTACATATGTAGAAGACGCTTTTATCCAAAAAAGGAACAAAGCAATTCGTCACATCTCATTCAAAATACAGGTTGGACAATTATAATATGGGGCTAAGATTATCAGAAATAAACAAGATTTTGACGCATATCCGCGGAGCGCGCACTGGATGGCAGGGATAGGCGCGCTGGCGCGAACACAAGTTTGCATTTTCCTATCAACAGTGGAAACAACTTAAAATACTCTATCATTTCTGGTCATACAGAAAATAATAATACATTATTCGCAACTACTTTTATTTGCGTAAACTCACAATAACAAGAAAACGTTGTGGTTTTGTAAAATAAAATAAAACAATCAGGCGCGCTTTCATGGTCTCCGTGAACTGAAGCGCGAGAACTGAAACAAAATATAGCCTATGTAGGCTAAAGCTTGAAATGTCCACTTTAAAACGAACAAATTCGAATCGAAAGCTAATACCTTCTGATTATGTAATCCGTATGAAAGGTGCATTTCTCTCTAAAGGTGCATCCGGAGATGGAGATATGTTTTTAGCCGACATTGATTTAGGAAACAATAGTTTATTAATAAACAATTAAAATGCCTCGTTATTTTTTCTGACACATTTATTATAGCCTACAACTCACCTATAAATAATCTTTCTGTAGGCTGTGGTTATGGTCTTCTCATTCAGCACTGCGGGAAAAATATAATTTCCAGGTTCTAATATGGCCTTAGAAAACCAGTAAAATCTAAATTTTGTCCATAATTAATTTGTGAATATTTTAAATGTTTAATAAAGGAGCAAAAAATCATAAACAAATAGGCTATCTTAAAATTCGTCGATATTTTTATTTTTTTTATTTTTTTGCGCAGCATTTGGTGTACAGTTAATATAAAAATGTTGGTGTTTAACTTTGCGTTTTAAAAAACACAACAACCGTTAATTTTTCGTTTTGCAATTACGGTTTAAATAAGGGAAAACGAATGGACACAAAAGTAGGCTACACTGACCGTTTGGAATTAATACGAGACAGAGTTCTTTATTAAATTCATAAAAGAAACAATAATTACAGGAATAGCCTACTGGACTCTAAACCTCAAAGAAATGCCACAATCAAGACCTCGGAGCAGAAATGAGGGAGAACTCCCGTGTCTTTCCCTGCCATCAATGCTTGGATAACACACCACGTCTCCTTCCATTAATAATAATAATGTCTAGTGCGGTGGCTATAGTGACACAAGGTATACATCTTGCTTTTGGAAACATTGGACCCGAAGCCTGTATATGTTCTATAAATGATGCCTCATCCGCATCATTCTTAATTGTTTTGTATTGTTTTTACATTTATATCTGTACTGTGTTGTCTCTGGACCTCTGTGTCTTGAATAAAAGTTGATATAGGCTATAACGTTAAACCTACCAATGTCCGTTACCATGATTTTTGGAATGGCTTATGGCGAGAGGAAAAAAAAGAAGTTTTAGTCGCATAACATCGGTTAATGGAAACGCCGTCATTTCGCAATAGTTTTTTATCGACATATAGAAAAAAATCGCAAAAGTTTTGCGCAAATCTGTAATGGAAACGAGCCTAATGGCGAGCGAAAGAGAGAGAATGTTGTTGCAGCTGGAGCTAATCGACGTTGAACAACAAATGATTTTATTGCAAATGTTTAATCGCAGAAGAATCAAACGTTCCTCAACTTGATATCGTTAAAACAAACAGTGCAGTGGTCACTTTAAAAATGGCGGTATAGCGGGAGGGGGAAACCGGAAAAGCTTCACTCCCGAAATGATGTATCTGACCAATCACAGCCCTTGTGGTCTGCGTCGCCTCGACGCGTAGTTAAATTTTTTTGGAGGTGCACGTCGAGCTACGGCGGAGGGGTCGGAGAGGGGTTCGCGGCGACGCAGAGAGGTCTGCGGGGGTACGCCGTCGATTCGACGCAGAAGCATAAAACAGGCTTTAGGGGGCGGAGCCTTGATTTCGCGGCTTTACTTTCTGCTCACTACTGCGCATGACTGGTCCCAAAAACGCTACTGCACAAACTCAAATTCCATATCGGGACACTGGCGGCTTCAGTTCTCTCCAATGGAAAAGAGCGAAGGGGCGTCGTCCATCTTTTTTTACAGTCTATGGGGCTAATGGGTCTTTTAGTAGCTATCAAGACTGTTAGCGAGCTAGCTGCATAACTATGGACTAGAAATAGGATTAACTCCAAGGTAGCTAAATTGTGTAAAGCAGACAAGGTTTTTTAAGATAATCGAGCAGTAATAATTCCTCCGTAAATAATCTAGCTCTCCTGTTGGGTCATCTCTGGTTCTCATTGAAAACCATAGATATCACAAACCTCAAAACACGAACTTTTGTATAGTAAAACTGGTGACGTCCTGACAAGATCCTTGATTAGTTTACTGAGTTTCGTTGCTGGAGAACGACGTTCTTGCCCGCCAGCCAGTACTTGTGACGTCACGCGCAAAGTATGAATTGAGATTAAGAGTTATCTTAATATACAGTTCCTCAAGAATATTTGCACACTAAAAATACATAAATGTCATTGATGTTTTATGTCTAACGCAATGGCAGTCAGATATTTTTCAAGTGTGTCTAAATATTTTTGGGTGCCATTTTCTGTTGTTCACAATCATGTTTCCGTTGAAATCTCGATCAGGACCTGGTGTTTTCCAGTGGACCTCCGACAACACAGACTAGCGCTACTGCATGTTAAACAAACACGGCGTCTATCGTTTACTACATAGAACATTCGACATTGTATGTTAGAGCTTAAGCAGTCTAAAACTCACTGCATGCCTGGGTTTAAAGCGAGCGGCGGCATTCGCCTTAAAGCTCAGTCCTGTGGGCATTAAATTAAGGTCAAGTATACACGAAAAGCAGGCAGTAGTTGGGAAAGGGGAAGGTTGGGAGTGGTTTGGAAAACTAAAAATGACCCAGGGCAAACAGAAAAGAGTCACATGGGGGAAACTGAGCCACTCATTCCAGAGCGGCCGGGTCTGCAGGATTTCTGCCACTTTCACCGGTTCGGAGAGGGTCCGTGCGCTCACCTCGTGGCTCGGCATCCGGCTTATTAGAGAGGCCGGCGGGGTTCCCGTCAGTCGCATTATCTGCTGAAGCTGGTTTATATCTTGGGGAACCCAGGTCAAGGGGTGTACGGTTAAAACACTCACAAATATGAGTGGACAAACAGGAGAACAATGCAGCTGCTGCTATCTTTGGTTGCTTTACGTTGCGGCTTAATGCTGAGATCATTTAAGAAGGGAAAAACTGGAGATACATTTACTTGAAAAGCAATGACAACTAAAATATATATTTTTAATAAATGTTATTGCATAAAATATTGCATTTATTATAAATGATTTATATGTGTACATCATTATTTGTATAAAAATGCATGTGACTCGTAATCTTTCATGAAATTAGCTTTGACGCACCGATGATACGTTTACTGGTGCGAGGGCGGGGCTATAACCTGTCACTCACATGAGATCCACCAATAGCAAACCACAACCATCCAATCAATTCCCCACGGACAAAATCAAGCCCCGCCTATTTATTCTTATTCCAGAAGCCATTTTACTGGGATATACGTCAGGAGTAGGGGACAAAATACGATCGCAAATGTGCTTAAAACGTTTTCTGCCAACAGGGTCAGAAAAATAAACGTAATTTGAAGGGAAAACAAGTTTATTTTTTGACCCATTGGCAGATGTTTTCTTGTTTTAAAGGCCCACTGAAGAGCCTTAAAACATGCAGCGTTATTTAATGTGTTGACGTAATTTCCACTGAAACAGGAAGACAGAGCGGGACATATTGAGAAGCTCCTCCCCTTTTTAAATATAGCCAATAGCGTTCCGTTTATATCACAGCTCGTCCAGAGCTCGGTAAAGCCACATTTGAAAGCTTATGACAGACACAGTCTAATAGATTCCCCTTTAAGATTTAATATGAAACTGTTCCTAAAGCAAAACAATGAGCACCGGTGCTCTACTCGTCAGTGAGGTTTATAATGCAGACGTTTTTTTTCCTGCTAATCTTCTCCATATTGCTTTAAAATACAGCATTCAGTGTAGAGTTCGAATGGGTCCTAATAGGTCATGATCCGCCCTGTGCTATCGTGTCTCTGGACCGGAGCTGTGGCGGTTCGCGTGACAATGGAAAGCATATTTCCACTGTCTGAGTCATTCCCTATCCCCTATATAGTGCACTATGTGCCATTCACCATGTAGAAAATAGTAAATGTGTGAACAAATGACTGCTTTCAGCCGCAGCTTCAGCGTCTATTTATAATGTAGGGGCTAGGGGGCGGGACTTCAGATTCTAGAGAGCATTTGATTGGACAAAAAAATCTGATGAGAGCTGAAGGGCAGAGTGATGTCATCAAAATCATTGATCCATATTGGCAGAAGTGAGAGACTACGTTTTGAATGCTTATATCTTCTAAATCTGTTTCGGAGCACATTAGCTTAGAGAGCTCTTAAGGCTAACATATTCATACTAAAACCCCCAAAACCTACTAAACTTTAGATAAATTTTTCAGAAAACAATACCTAATATCTTAGGTCATTTTGCTTTTCAAGTAAATGTATCATGATTAAAGAATGTTTAGACATCTGTACTGGAAAACAAGAGAAAAAAACAGAGTAAGATTTTTTTGCAGTGCATGCACCCCATGTTAATCAATCCAGGGTTAAGAAAGACACAGGAAATACAACAGGAAGTACAGGACGCAGGAGAGAAAGCCATTCGTACACACTCGTAATAATAATCATGGGTTGATTTTGCAAATTCATCTGCCAGCTGTCTGACTACCACTGACTATTTTAAGGTGATTGCATAACTAGTACTTCATACCAGTGAAAAAGAAAGGGAAAAAAATGATGCGACATGCATGAAGTGTGATCGGGGTGAGTGAAGAAAGCAGAACACATCGTCATTGCGACACAGAGGGAGTCAAACTCAGGCAGAACAGAAACACTCACAGACTCCGAAGAGACTTTCATCAAGAACTCTGGCCCTGGGGTTCCGACGAGCATCATGATAAGCTTCAACTGATCAATATCTTTAAGAGCAAAATAAAGGAAAATGCAGGGAATGGGGTGACTATGAAAGCAGGGACTGGGGGGGGGGGGGGGGGGGGGTGATAACAAAATAATGTTTTCAACTAAAGAATAAAAACAGCACAGGAAAATGGGATAAAGTTAGAAATAAAACTGAGCCATGATTGGTTCAAAGCCAACATGCATTCTGCAATAATTATGTATGGAGCTTACAAGACTTCTCAGATTCTTCATTGAGCGAGTTAGCATAGCAGAAGTAAGCTAGCACACTTACCTGACTGAACTACAGTGTTGGGGTCACATTACAAGTAATGCGAGTTATGTAATCAGATTACTTTTTTCAAGTAACTAGTAAAGCAATGCATTACTTTTAAATTTACAACAAAATATCGGAGTTACTTTTTCAAACAAGTAACGCAAGTTCAAACCTCTCCTGCCGCCATGTTCAGAGAGAAATCATGAGTAAGCGCAGAGGCGTTGTGTGCGAACATGATGGTTATTGTAGTTCTAGACAAAATGTGAATACATTTACTCATCACACTAGGACAAAAACAGATTCAGCATTTCTCAATTAATAAAAACTGTGAAATGCAAATTCACAATATTACACAAACCTGCAATAATGGGCTATATGCACGCATAACTTCCGCGTTTGACGCAAGGATGCTCGTGCGTTTCCGGTTGGAGAGATTTAAAGCGGAGGAAAACCGAGGAAAACGGGATTATGGCAGAGTCTTCAAAATTTACTGTCCTCTCGTCTTTGAAACGAAACTTTAATACGTTTAGATGTAATTTTATATATAGTTATTTTTATTTAATATAATAAATACAGAAGCATAAACAAAATGAGGAGTGTCTGTTTTGTCTGTTTTTGTGACTAACGTTTCTTTAGTATAGCAATAGAGTATAAAAACCAATATAAATTCTCGGTATAGCATTGGACTCTACGATCGGCGGAAGTAATCCAGCATCCTTTAGACCTTCACCGGAAATACCGCCGTGCATAGAGCCCATTAAATGTTAAATAACCCAAATATACTTCATGTATTTAATATCTCACTTTATTAACCATTGTCTTTGCTGCTGATGATCCAATTCGACCATACAAATAACCAAAAATGACTTTAGTTCAACATAGCATCGGTTTCTTTTTTAATTTTTACTGCTAAAGAAAGTGTGTTGAATTGTGATTCTCCTGCGATCCGGAAAGACAGAAAACATCTGAAAGGTTTGAGCGGCGCCCTCTACCGTACAGACGTGAGTTTGCATTTCCTTCAACCTGAAGCTCGTTCATTTCACTTTTGGTGTGAAAGGGACTTTACATTTGCAAAAAAAACAGAACAAAAAACAGGCAAGCCCAGAAAAAGTAACGCAAAAGTAACAATGCATTATATTCCATAAAAAGTAACCAAGTAATGCAATTAGTTACTTTTTAGGGAGTAATGGAATATTGTAGCGCATCCCTTTTAAAAGTAACGTTCCCCAACACTGCTGAATTACACTTGCATGAAGCAGCACACAACATACGAGTTAATGCAACAGCACGACAGGCTTTATGCTTTGTGATGGGATGCAATAGACCTTGAACGTACAACAAAATCAAAGCAGTCTAAAGCTTCATTAAGGAGATTTGCGGTACATGACAGCCTGCGTTTACATGCACATCCTTTTCTAATTAAGCTCCATATTCTAATTAACAGAGGTGGACGGTAGCAAAGTATTTTTACTTTGTTGCAGTACTAAAGTACATTTTTCAAGTATGTGTACTTTTTGTATTTTTATTTTACTTCACTATATTCCAAAGCACTTTTTTACTCCACATGTTTTTATGAAATAATCGCTCCTCATTATTTTGAACTTAAGTCGTCCTCACCTGCTCAATAGTGAAGTCCGTAAACGAACTGATTCTTTTTAATGAACCTGAATCAGTAGGCAAATCACACTGAACGATTGTCAACAACTCACTGATTCAAATGATTCAGTCAGAGTGAGTCTTCAGTTAACGATTCACTGAATTCACAATTCTGACTCAAAATGAGCCAAGAACGGGAGATCCTCAGAGCCAGTGGCGGAGCCAGGGGGTGGCCAGGGGTGGCCATGGCCACCCTTGGCTTAAGCTTGGCCACCCCTTTGGCCACCCCTCTCACAACTGCTGTTTCTGTCTCGCTCTAATTTTTACAAGAATTTTGTTTTTAAAACACAGAACCGTCGCTTTAAGACCACAAAAAACGTGAGACTTTTCAGACGCGCACTCCAACTTCACCTCAGCGCCAGGCGCAAGTCAAACGAGTGCGGAGATGTACGGGTACCGAATGAGCTTGAGCATTGATCGGAGCATAGTAAATATAGATTCGATGTTTCTCAACTGGTGGGTTGCAGTCAAAGAAACAACAACGTAATTCTCTTTTTTTTCTGATTCTACTTTTATTATGAAAGATCTGTGTGAAAGCTTGTGACACTTCTGTCAGATGCGGAGAAAAGCGCGTTGTCCTGAATCAGTAACTGTGGTAAGATGAGATGTTGTAAGGTCAACAAATGTCAGTAAAACTAACTTTCCTGTCCTGACAGCCGTTGTACTGTACTTGCACATCACGCGCAATGTGGCGTGCTGTAGCAGTAATTCAATTAGCTAACTCATGAAATAATCAAAAAGGCGATCAAATCTGTGTCAAAACTGCATGCATGCATGTATTTGTTATATATGCGTCACATATGTCTCGACTAAAATATTCTGCCATGTGAAATCACAATTTAAGGCACAAACTGACAGGCTATGTGATTTTTTTTAATGTTCAAATAAATGTGAGCACTGTGCATTTGTAAGCTACTAGAAGATAGGCGGTAATTTTGCGTTAATTTGTAAAGGCAAAACTAAAAATTATCATTTTTAAATACATAAAATAACTAATTTTACATTCTGGTATTTATGTGCTGTTTACTTCCGCCTTGTTCACATTCTTGGACATAGAGATTCAAAAGAGATGTTTTCCCCCCTTTTTAATTTAGGTATGATAGAACGGATTAGATTCTTTATTTTGACAACTAATATAGAAAGTTGAAGAGTTAATTGATTATATAAAATTCAATGAAGGTTAAATAATCTTCGAACTACAGTAGTTATCTGCATGTCTCATCCATGAAGGTGCAACAATGTTGGGGGTTTTGAGAACCAGAACCAAGCTAACTGAGCAAGTTGAACTTTAGCTATAGTGTGTGTACTCTTTATTAATATGCCTGGAGGTAGTAGCTAATAATAATAAAAAAAAGATCAAATTCACTCAGTATTCCATGATTCCTTCACTACTATCTCAATTACAATTAAGTACAAATGAACTGTATTCAGTTGTGTAGGAAGGCACTAAAACAGTCCAATACATTATTTAAAATAATTTTTATGTTAAAATAATTAAGATTTATATGCCACCCCAGACTGTTTGCTGGCCCTTGCCTGGCCACCCCTATGAAAAAATCCTGGCTCCGCCACTGCTCAGAGCTAGAGTGAACACGCACTGCGTGGCTGATGGCGTGAACAGTTATCAATGCCGAATTTAAGGATTTATTTTTGTAAATGAACATTATATTTAGCATATTTGACTGTTTGTTAAATAAATCAGCTGTAAAAGGCATTTGCATAAAATGCTTGAGTGTGGACATGTCCACATTTGTGTGTTACCGGGTAGAAAAACTAAACATTTATGTTGCATGTTATTTGTCAACATACACTCACCGGCCACTTTATTAGGTACCCCATGCTAGTAACGGGTTGGACCCCCTTTTGCCTTCAGAACTGCCTCAATTCTTCGTGGCATAGATTCAACAAGGTGCTGGAAGCATTCCTCAGGGAGTTTGGTCCATATTGACATGATGGCATCACACAGTTGCCGCAGATTTGTCGGCTGCACATCCATGATGCGAATCTCCCGTTCCACCACATCCCAAAGATGCTCTATTGGGTTGAGATCTGGTGACTGTGGAGGCCATTTTAGTACAGTGAACTCATTGTCATGTTCAAGAAACCAATTTGAAATGATTAGAGCTTTGTGACATGGTGGAAGTAGCCATCAGAGGATGGGTACATGGTGGCCATAAAGGGATGGACATGGTCAGAAACAATGCTCAGGTAGGCCGTGGCATTTAAACGATGCCCAATTGGCACAAAGGGGCCTAAAGTGTGCCAGGAAAACATCCCCCACACCATTACACCACCACCACCAGCCTGCACAGTGGTAACAAGGCATGATGGTTCCATGTTCTCATTCTGTTTACGCCAAATTCTGACTCTAACATCTGAATGTCTCAACAGAAATCGAGACTCATCAGACCAGGCAACATTTTTCCAGTCTTCAACTGTTCAATTTTGGTGAGCTCTTGCAAATTGTAGCCTCTTTTTCCTATTTGTAGTGGAGATGAGTGGTACCCGGTGGAGTCTTCTGCTGTTGTAGCCCATCCGCCTCAAGGTTGTGCGTGTTGTGGCTTCACAAATGCTTTGCTGCATACCTCGGTTGTAACGAGTGGTTATTTCAGTCACTGTTGCCCTTCTATCAGCTCGAACCAGTCTGGCCATTCTCCTCTGACCTCTGGCATCAACAAGGCATTTCCGCCCACAGAACTGCCGCTCACTGGATGTTTTTTCTTTTTCGGACCATTCTCTGTAAACCCTAGAGATGGTTGTGCGTGAAAATCCCAGTAGATTAGCAGTTTCTGAAATACTCAGACCAGCCCTTCTGGCACCAACAATCATGCCACGTTCAAAGTCACTCAAATCAACTTTCTTCCCCATACTGATGCTCGGTTTGAACTGCAGGAGATTGTCTTGACCATGTCTACATGCCTAAATGCACTGAGTTGCCGCCATGTGATTGGCTGCTTAGAAATTAAGTGTTAACGAGCAGTTGGACAGGTGTACCTAATAAAGTGGCCGGTGAGTGTATATTTACACACATTTTGTTATTTTCATGCCTCGATTATCAGTAATTATCAGCAGTAGGCTAGTGTATGGCAAGTTTTGGTAATAAAATAAAATGTTCTGTCTGTTCTTCCATCTGAGAGGCCGTTCATACTATCATGTTCATATGCCGTTCATACAACATGTTTCTGCATTTCCCCGAGCTGCTTTCATTTGTTTATCTATGCAAACTTTCACTAGCGCTTCACACGGCACACTAAAAACAAGCTAGTTCAACTTCATAAATACACGTTCTGTGTGAATGGCCCCAGTACGTGTTTTAATTTGAGTAATTCTAAGAAACAACAACATATTATTAGCCCTATTATTATTTAGTCATTTATAATATATTAAATTATTTATCATTCAAATCTTTAATAACAAACAAGAGCTTGGTGGTTTTCAAGATGTCATTAAGTTTTTTAAATGTTTTTGATAGATGTCTCTTCTGCTCAGCAAGGCTGCATTTATTTGATCAAAAATACAGTTAAAATATTACCCTGCTTTCTATTTGAATACATTTTAAAAGGTCATGTATTCCTGTGATCAAAGCTGAATTTTCAGCATCATTACTCCAGTCTTCAGTGTCACATGATCCTTCAGAAATTAGTGCAATATGTTGATTTGATGCTCAACAAACATTTCTGATTATTATCAAATGTTGAAAAAACAAAGTGATACATTTTTTCATTTTTTATTTAAAATATATGTATTTGTAACTTTATAAATTTCTTTACTGTTACTTTTGATCAATTTAATGCATCATTGCTGAATAAAAGTGTTAATTAAAAAAAAAATATATATATATATATATATTGTTCTGACTCCAAACATTTGAGTGGAAGTAGTATAAGCAAAGGTTATTTATATTTCTAACTGCCTGTATCTACCGCAATACCACTCAGAATTTTTTTTTTTTTTTTTGAGATATAAGACATATATAAGTGATATATAACAGTCGGTTATGGTGGAGTTTTCAAATAAAGTTTACATGACCCAAAATTCTGATTAATACAGGCATTTCCCAATTCAGATTCCCAATTCTAGAAACCAGTATATTGCCTTATTTTTGTTATGGTTAATGGGTTTAAATCTGAACGTTCTTACGTTATCAAAACGTGGTCGCTTATATTGGAATATGACCAAATTCTGATTAATATAAGAATATTCTTATGCATGTAAACGCAGTACTGAAACCGTGCAAATATGTTTAACAACTGAACGTGACAAACATGTGTGAGCTACAGTACACTGTTCCAGATCCACACTGACTTCTACTCAAATCTGGCACAGGATGATGTTACTGAACAGCACAAACACTCATCAAAGGTAAGTGAACAGTTGAGGAAGAAAGAGAGGTATCTTTGTTCGAAGACTAAAAAGTGCAAGCAAGATGATGACCGATCGGGGCGGTTCAGTTAGAAACAAGCACAAATGCAGCAAGTCAACATGCAGCTCATACACGCAAGCTTTAGTGCATCAGACCATGTGTGTGTGTTCTGTGCTTTAAAATCTGTTTTTGTGGACCTCTGTGACCTGAGAAATTTTGTGAGAATGCAGCCATTTCTAACCATTAAAGAAAATGGGGCTTTATTTTTTGGCATCTCCATGTGGTTCTGTTCAGTATCCCAACATGACACGTCTAAAACAAACTACTCTAAAAACTGTACACTGAATTCTGAAAAGTTCTGTAATATTTTTTCGTGTGTGCATTCATGTATGAATTATATGGACTCCTTATATCATTTGGTTATTAAGCGTACTTTTGGAGTCTCCAAGTGTCTTTTTTTTTTGGAAAGAAACCTAAATTTAACTTTGAAAAAAGCTTGCAGAAAATAGCTTTGTGAGAATCGTCCTTCGATCTGATTCTTGGATTAGCAAACGATGACAAAATGAACACGTTAATCAAGACAAATGTTAACATTAATACATCAACCATACATTAATGGATTAATCACGATAAAAAACTGTTAATCTATTGACAGCCCTATTATATACATTTATTTATTTAAATGAATTAGTACCGATTGGAATGTCACGGGGTGAGTAAATGACTAATAACTGTATTCCTGCCCAGTAATATATCAGTTGTAGGAACACACTGTAGATTTGTGAGTCACCTGACACTCAAACACACACAAATTGAGTGTTAACTAATATTAATTAATGCGGTTTTACACATCTAAACCGAGTTATATTATTATGCACACAGAAAGCAGATTTATCTGGCAACCAAATAACTACTTCTTTATCCTAATCTAATCTTTCGCAGACTTCTTTGAAATGCAAATCACACTTCCTTTCTTGAAAGGCCAAGACTCCATTTAATGCGGGAGTGTGTGTGAGAGTGTGTTTGATTCGACGACCTCGTGAAGTAGAACAGAAGCAGCAACGCATTAAGATTCCCCACGCTGTGCTAGAATCTTTGTCCTTTAAGACTGAGCAAAGTTCATGTTTTTGTCAACAGGACCGTCAGCCAGTGTGAGTCACTGGGAGAGAGCAGGCCCGACACTGGCTGATTCATTTCCCTCAGGATCACCGCCTCGCTCTATGAATTAGGACCGGCTGACACGCTTAGCTGCCTTTTTTTCACACTTACAGATAGGGAGGGAGGGGGGGCTAAAAGAATGCCACATCGCTAAAGGGGTATTTCCAGGAAGAGAGGTTTTGTGCAGGGCATGAATGATGGGGAAAGGATACGATCAGTGCCGGGAAACAGCGTCCGTCCTGTGAGGAGCTCAGCCATTATGCAGCCCACCGACCAGATGTCCACTACAACACAAAACAAAAACCCTGTTCTCATTGGTGGAAACAAAATACATTCTGTTAAAGACAATACAATACTAACTTTCTTAATAAACGTTAGGGGTGTAACGATATTCGAACCGAAAAACCACGATACGTATCGCGATACTCTCATGGCGTACCAAACTTATGTCTTATGTGTACACAACGAATTTCGATAATAAGCAAGATGTAGTCTTTTAAATAATGTCTATTTGATCACGAAATTCAAACAATAAATGCTCTTATATGTGGCGTGACAGATCACTATACTAGCTACTCATTTAAAGCAGCAGCGCGAGTAAACGCGATCATCTTTTCCTCAGTTACAGAATAAACATCCGAAGGTATGTTGAAAGATACAGTATACTTACTGAAAGGCATCATAACTCGTGTAATCACTCAATCAGTGTTTCAACAGTGGAAATACGTCAATAAAACGCTTAGTTTTTCCACATAGCTTTATATTTACCTCAGGCAAGTCATTCAGTGTCCACAGCTTGCTGGTTCGCTAACTCTTTCACTAAATAAATGCACTATATTAGCCTATATATTCGATTTTAATTAACCTGTTAATGATATCTTGATTATTTAATGTATGTTTAAAATATCTGTCATGAAAATAACAGCAACTGTGTAAATTATTATATTTCAATAACAAATTAGAGTAAAAACATGTGTTTTAGGCTTAAGTTTTTCTATCTACTATATTTATATTTGACTATTTCAATTACTAAAAAACTTTTTAAATTTTAATACTTTTAGTTTACAATAGCAACACACTGGATGTGAGAAGTTCATTATTTCGCTTGTATTTCTATACGGTTACCACAAATGTTATTTTAGGAAATATTTTAGGTTTTCATCCCAAACAAAACCCATTAACCCAAATGTAAACTTTAAACTTGTCAGAAAGAAGGAAACCAGGTGATATGCAACTGTAATACGATCAACAAACGTGGAAATACTTCACAAATGTAATAAATCTGTGTTTTTAACCAATAAGAATTGAATCAAACAAAAATTTTAACTACAACAAAAACTATGGGATAAAATATAAGCATTTTTGCTAATTAAGGCCATGTGGGAGGGGAAAAATGATATTAACCATAACCAATAACATTACCCACTTATGATATCAAATCCCATCCCATCACAATTTCTGAACTGAATATTCTGTTTCAGCCAGAAATAATACACAACATGAAAGTTAAATGACTTGTGAATGTCGTTTCATGTTGTCTTCAGTTACAAAATGTAATGAATTACACAAACACAAAAACTATCAATACACAAGAGAGGATTCTGGGTAATCCTGACCTGTCATGTTGTAGTGCATCCAGTTGAGCATGATCTCCGGTGCACGGTACCATCGGGTGGCAACGTATCCCGTCATCTCATCGTCAGTCAGCCGGGCCAGACCAAAGTCCAAAATCTGGGCACGGATTTCAGAAGAAGCATTAGTCATAATTATCATATTACCCTGTGTGCCTGACTATAAACCCACTGTTGGTCAACAGAGGATAATAATAACAGATGTGACAGTGGAAAAAGCATCAGATGATGATGATGATGAAGATCTTGGCAAACAGAGCACGCTCTCACCTTCAGTTCACAGTCTTCATTTACAGCCAAGTTACCGGGTTTAAGATCCTGCGCGATAGAAAAAGGTGAGCAAATAGATGGAATAAGTGAGAATCACTTTGAATTTGCATTACGCTTTCATGCACTAATAAACATCATCCTGGGAGCTAAAATCAGGCCACCACAGAAAAAAACCTTTCATTATAAACCATAAAGGTGTTTACACAAGCAGTGGTGCAGATGAAGCCCTAAAACCAAATCTGTGTACCTCAGCAAACCTGCAATAAAACTACCGCTCCGTACTAATGAGAAAAAACTCATATCCGTACGGACAGAAATACGTCTGGATCAAATCAGTTTCAAATTCTCACTGCCTTTGCTTCCTTAATACACATCTAGTGATGCGTAGAAACGGAATAAATTAATTTCTCAATTGTATTTATAAAGTAGGAGCTCTGTAGTTTTTCAGATATTTTATTTAATGTGAAAGATCTTATAAAATAAATAATCTGTGTGTGTGTATTTATAATGCATTTAACGCACCTCCCCCGCCCCAGACCTATGTGGGTCATCTTACATTTCATAAAGTTGATGGTGACGAACATGAAGCAGAGCAACAACTCACTTCATGATGGAGCCTATAGAATAGAGTTAGAATAGCCATAAACTTCAAGATATCAGGGCAAAAATGCCCTTGTACGAGTTTTTGTCTAATATTTACTATATCATGATGCAAAAGTCTAAAAGTTTATATGAAATCTAGAAGTTTATGTGCTTAAATTTTCTCATTTAACCAATGACTTTAAATGATCTTTTGGGGGTAATTTTTCTCAGCCAAATTTGATTTGCGATTAATTCATCTCCACGTCGTGTAATTCATTCAATTAAAAATGTAATCGCTTGACAGCGCTAATATATATACACACACACAAGGTTTAGGGTCAGTAAGATACTTTAAAGTTTACAGTCTCTTCTGCTCACCAAGGCTGCATTCATATTTGATCAAAAACACAGTAAAAACAGTAATATTGTGAAATATTATTACAAGAATTTGTAAACAAAAACAGTTTTCTAACTGAATATATTTTAAAAAGTCCTTTATCAATTCAAAGCTGCATTTCCAGCATCATTACTCCAGTCTTCAGTGTCACATGATCCTTCAGAAATCACTCTAATATGCTTATTGGCTGCTCAAGAAATATTTACTATTATTATCAATGTTGAAAACTTGAAAATATCAGGATCCTATGATGAATAAAAAGTTAACAGAAAGAACATAAATGTGTAGCATTATGAATGTCTTTACTGTATAAAAGTTCATTTCTTTCACAAACTTGTATATATATATTATGTTCTATATACACACACACACATGAATAATGAAATGTAGTGTACAGAAAGTGTGGTGTACTCACTCTGTGGATGATGTCTGCTGAGTGAATGTACTGTGTGGAGAAAAGACAGATCAACTCACTTTAAGCAAATACACAGATCAATCAGAAGCCGTTGTTAACACATTATACAAGACCAGGTATTATAAACCTTAAACAGTTATCTTTTATCTAAAATAACTTTAGAGAGAATAAATTAGAGTAATTGTCCAGTAGGATATTCAACAGAAGAGTTAAAGGAAAACTATAGCCACAATGTACTGGAAGTAGAGACGGATATTCTCTTCTGTGTTATGACATGCATCTGAGTGAAAGGAATTATTGAAAAAGTGAAGGAAAAATGTATCGGCTGGACGCGGATCTGGATGTGAGTTTGCAGTCGATTGGAAGAAAGGAGAGGGATTTAGATTTGAGAAGTCCAGCAAACGTCACCAGAGGGAAGTCGTTTCAATAAAAGATTAAGTCGTGACATTTTGACTAAGAAACAAGGTCAAAAGAAATAAAAAAAAGAAACGCGTTCATAAATTCATTGTTCACGACAAGATCAATAAGCTGCATTTAAAAAATAGATGGAGTGAATATCCATCTCCTGCTAGCTTTAATATTGATGAACTCTATTTGTGGTGTTAGTACTTTCTGTTGATTGACCACAGAGAATAAATGACAATATATCTCAGTTTGTACAAAGTAAAACTGACCAGCTTTCAGCTTTTGCAAGTGCATTACTGTAAACACATTACATGTTCTTATAGATAAACTGAGGGATTATTAGTCAAAATCATATGATGAGCAAAATCTGAGAGTGATTTATACAGTACGGGTACTTTTGCTGAAAACTGAACCCCTGAATGTAATCAAGTAATAATGATAATAATAATGTCTACTTTTTAATAATCTAGCGCCTTTTATTTAAATGTATGTAATTTAGCGCCTATACTTGATTCATTAAAAAAAAACACAATTAAGTCTGGCACCAGTACAAAAAAGTTTCAAACTATTTAACACTAATCAAAGTAAAAATACAGTTAAAAGCAAGATTTAGAAGAGTAATAGATTATAAGACTGGATATATAGACAAATGTGCTTGCAACTCATGTGAACTGTACATGTGAATACTGAATATATAAGAATATTATGTGTGAAGTTGCAATGTTTGTTAACTGTAAACAACAAATCAAAACATCAGTCCCATTATAGTCAGTAAAGCGGTTTACACTTTAAGTGTCTGATTTTTTTATTTATTATTATGCCATGGATATATACCGATACAGCAGAGTACTGTCAGTCCTACTCAACGGTTTGCCACAGATGTTGTCAATAACCCAGAATATTCCTTTAAGCTCACATTACATTGAGCAATTACAGCAAAATAACAGTGCAAACAGTGGGCAGGGCCTAACCTTCAATCCTCGGAGGATCTGATAAATGAGGAACTGGACGTGATCGTCTGTCAGCTTCTGGCACTTGACGATATTGTTGAGGTCTGCTCCCATCAGGTGAGTCACCAGATACCTGTTAAACACAGTCATCATGACACAGCAACTCCACAGATCGTGACACTGAAGAGTGAAGTCGAAGGAGGAGTACGAACCAGGGCTGCACAATAACAGTTTTCCTTTGATACAAATTGCAAAATGAATAGACAGGAATTTTCACAAGATGGCGATTTTTGGGCTGTAGTGCATCTGAATAAAAAATGTAAATGTATAAAAAAGCAGAAATATTATTTTTACTCTGAAGACTTGTGTACATACTTGGGTGTGCTTTTTTTTCAAGAATCAACTCAAACCTTTTTCAGTAACTATTCAGTAAAAAAATAGTTTCCAATTGAGTTGAGATTTCATAGGCCACATTCCTACTGTTTTTGACTAATTCAGTTGATAATTGCAGTGAGCCATAATATATCATGATCAATTTTACTTTGATAAATCATGCATCATATATCAACGCTGTTTACGTTGTAAACACAGTGCAGCGCTTCCGGGTTCTACGGCAGAACGCCGCCTCATTATTGGCCAACACTGTTCACGTGAGTGTTTACAACATAAACAGAGCATGGAGACTCGCGTGGAAAAGAAGAAATAGTTCAATAAAGTCGTTTTCTTTTTTTGCTCACAAAAAAAAAAACCTCATCGCTTCACAATCAGGGTTTGAAATGAACTTTTTCACTCACCGGCCAATTTGGCTACATAATTTTTAAGTTACTGCTTGGTTTTTTTCCTCCTTTTACATATATATATATTCATTCAATTGAAAATTGCTTTATTGGCATGACTGTAAATAATACAATATTGCCAAAGCTTGGAATACATAGAATAATAATAAAAAAATAATAGAAGAAAAAAAAATGTATATAACAGAATTTGGATTTCATACATACATTTCTTATTCAAACAAAATCCTGTCATTCAGCCGTCTCCTCCCTTCCTCTTTCATCCTCGTCCTTTCCACCAAAAATGTGTTTTAGGTGGACAGATCAATACAAAGTACATCAAAAAATGTAGGATGTTGTAAAATAATGTCTTTTCGGTTAACCGAAAGCTTTTCTTCGCCAATTCAAATGCCAATTCTTCGCTATTGCTTCAATGCAAATGAACAAGCGTGCCGTTATTTGTTGCGTAGTGACGTTTGTTCGAGTAAGCCAGATATGAGCAGATCATACGCTGCATTTAATATATCATGATGACTCACAAGTTGAGTATTTGCGCTAAATCTGCGCAGATTTGGTTTACACGAACTTCCCCAGGAAAGTGAGTAAATATAATAAGTAACACGCCAAATTGTCGAGTGATTTGACAGCGTTACCCGCCACAGTCTATTTTTACCCGCATTTGGCGGGTGTTAATTTCAAACCCTGTTCACAACATTAAGGCTGATCTACTGTAGTCGCATGGACTATTTTAATGCGGTCTTTACTACCTTTCTGGCCCTTGTTGTAGTCTATGGAGGGACAGAAAGCTCTCGGGTTTCATCAAAAATATCTTCACTTGTGTTCCGAAGATGAACGAAGGTCTTACGGGTTTGGAACGACATGAGGACTAGTAATTAATGACAGAATTTGAATTTTTGGGGTAACTATCACTTTAACCTGGAACACATACAGTACAGTACAACCAATCCGCTTGTGTAATGTGTCTGGGTCGCCTGCCGAACGCTGGAAGGAATCCAAGAGCCACTCATTTGACCCGGCCATGAGCCCTATCATCAACCTTCCGCATGCATGAGCGCTTTGCTAATCTGCACTCTCGTGAGCACAACCTGACCGTAGTGAAAACGTCTTCCGAGCACTTCTGCAGAGTCGTTTGCATAGCAGATACTCAAGTATATGGAGATACATGCGGTTCAGAAATATCTCTTGCCCCCGAGCTCTGCTCTCACACTCGTTCTCCAAGAGATTTTCGGGGTCGAGGTATTTATAGGAGTATTATAGTATTCTTAGCTCTTGTTTCCATGCATCTTGTGCAAGCGCTCGATGCAGATAAAGAGCACAGCGAGACCCTTCCTCCAGTGTTTGCTCCTGTTCCCACTCTCTTCGCAACCAAACACAACTCACACTGGTGCTCTTGTTCCAGGGAAACTCGCGGTGCGCTTTTTCCTCTCTCCCAGCAGTCGTGACCTCAGACGGCTCTAATCAGACAAAAATGAACTATCCTGAGACAGAGCTCAACAGTTGGACACGGACAGTCCTTAAAGAACCCCTGAGATTAAAATGGGACCTTTATGATGATTAGCTTCGATGCATTATGTTCTAGTGGCTTTTTTTGCATCAATGACCCAGATTTTACACTGGACATGCAATGTTTTCTATACAAGCCAAGCCACGGGTGTCACACATCCAGGATCGTCTTGTTCCAGGTTTCACACTGTTCGTCCCTGACTGTGTGGTTAGTAATCAAGGGTAGCCAGGTTTCAAGATTTCACTTTGCTTTTGTAAACCGTTGAAACACAGAAGAGGCTTTTACACAGTGTTTACTGCTGCTCAGACGTGGCACAAACGCATTTACACAGAATATAAAACTGGCACTGACTTTTATGCTGCATTATGTCTTTACAAAACTTTGTGCAAGCACAGAGGAGCCTTAAAGGAACAGTTCACCCAAAAATGGAAATTATCCCATAATTCACTCGCCCTCAAGCCATTCCAAGTGTATTCAACTTTCTTCTTTCGGTCGAACACAATCGGAGTTATATAAAATATTATCCTGGCTCTTCCCAGCTTTTGTAATGGCATTGAACAGAGCTCGAGTTTTTAAAGCGCATTCATCCATCATAAAAGTAACCCATACGACTCCAGAGGGTTAATAAAGAAGGGTTAATAATCTCCAGAGGGTTAATAAAGCTTCTGCGCTAGGTTTTTTAAAGAAAAATATCCATATTTAAAACTTTATAAACTATAATCACTGGCTTGCGGCAGACGGGTGACTCATTGATGGTTAATGTTCTTATCAGTGTCTTATTAATAACCTCGTATTATGAGGTTTATAACAATAATTGGGCAAATAGAAGCGTGCAACTTTGCAATTACTTTAAATTTCAGTCACACATTTCATAATAATGGAATTTAACAATAATATATAGAAACGCAGTAGTGACTGAGTTATGTAGAGTTTTGCATGAAAATATAAATAAAACAAACATGTATCGGGAACAGTGTTTCGGTATAATGGCAAAATATTTTTTACAAGTCAGCCCACCATAAAATGATGCATGACACTAAAGAATTTAGGACAGAAATGTGTTGATACACAAGATTCTAATATTCACAACACAAATAACATTAACATACATGAAATGATCATATAATGGTTGAGCTCCAGAAAATATCAGCATGAGTGAAAAGTGAACTGAAGTCAATCAAATGAAAAGCATGTAAAAAATGTACTGTAATATTTACAATAATAATATTAATCATTATATTCTACCCCAATATTATACATACTTGCAAAGGTATACGCACAGTGACGCACAATAATTATTAGTAGGACGATTAATTGGCCCAAATTTCATAATTACGACATCTCATATGCCTAGGCAATCAGTTTTTATCTATGATTCCCTGCATGAGCGATTATTCTATTGTTTGTGTTATGATTATTTTGAGAGGCAGCGATATGAGGCAATAACAGTTTGCAGGTTATTGCCTCTGTGCCACGAGGAAATTATGCTGAGCACATGAAGCCTGTTGCCATGGTAACTACGGATATTCCCAGCCACGACGTTGTTTCCCTCTCCCGGAGCAGAACTCGACGGGAAGTAAACGCTGCTGCGTTCTGATTATCACTCTGACGACTGGATGCAAGGAGCTTGAACGCTTCCGGACTGAACACACGCCGCATCATCAGGGCTACATCTAATGAAGCTTTTATTGAGCAATGCAGGGTTGTGAAGGAGACACATCCAATAATTAGATGGGAGCGCACACGACTACGCCCGAGGAATTACTGAAGTGTGCCGTTATCCTTTTTCTCTCCACAGAATCCACAGACCTGCAACCCATAATGCCACACAGAATACAGTCCTTCCAGAAAAACAAGTTTTTTTGTAATTGTTGCGGGCAAAAATCCTTGATTATGTGGCCCGTTTTCTTAAAAAATGCGATGGAATATGCGGGATATTTACGCAATTTTATGCGATGAAACTGCGGGAACTTGCAAAAATTGCGGGAACTTGCAAAAACTGCGGTTTGATGAAAAAGAGAGAAAAAAAGTGATTCCCCAAACACCCTGTTCTCACTAGGTTCCTACCTTACTGTAAAGAGTCCTTTCTTATTACTTCCTATGATAAGCAAGCATATACATCACAGAAAGTGCTGGAATATTTCAGTTCTCATCTTGTTTTATTTCAGACCTTAATAAACACATCAAACTTACAAAACGTTGATGAGTCAAACAAGTCCTGTAGCTTTAAAGGTGCCATGTGGAATGTCTGCCAAAAAATAAATTCATACTCCACATATTCCATACCAAATGGGGGCAGTATACCTCCAGAAAGTTGGCCTACTCTAGTCTGTTTTTTAGTTTCGGGTTGTTAATCTTCTAAAACCGTCAAATCGTCCGCTTTGTCCCGCCAAAGCCTATTTTGATCGGTGAGTGATGTAGAATATAATGACTGCTGCGCTTGACAGGGCTTATAACGAGCAGAGAGAGAGAGCGCCCCGGCCGCGCGCGCGCACTCTCACGTCTTCAAACAACACGAGCGCAGTCCTCCTGCTCTCTCTCTCCCTCGCGCATACTAATCAAATCAATTGACACGATAGTAAGACCGCAGTTCATTTGGAGATTTTTAGAGATTAGAGACTCAATGAACAACATCTCAACACTAAATTATAAAGGCCGGTCTCATTTAGACGCGATTGACATCAGGTTCAAGTACGCCCACAAGCCGTGCGAGTTATTCGTGTACTGCAGTTGGGCTGGTGGTTATGTATGTTGCCCGCATACCGCCTCCCATGGCCGAAACTGGTATTACGACACCAGTCGGGCCGGCGCTAGTAATTTAGCATGCTAATTTAGGTTTATATCTCGGCAGCACTATAACTTGTTAATTTTTTAATGACATCATTGCACTTATTTCTTCTCATTCTTTTGATGCGTGTAGCTTATTTTTTGGATAATTTTACCTCAATTTTTACATAGGGCACCTTTAAGGCCTGTTCACACCGCGCGCGATATTCGCCGACGTTTAACGCCTCGTGACTAAACAAAGGGCGCCAATGTGAGTGTGCACACCGACACGAAAAATGCCACGCGTAAAAGCGTCATCTTTTTAAAAAACGCCTCGGGTTCGCGCCGCATCAAAAACTATCCGACCAATGAGATTGGTGCTTTTGCTCACGTGTCTGGAGCTTCTGAAGTTACAGTAAAACACAACTTGGGGGCGCTCAAACACAAAACGGTCTTGCCGAGCACACATACGTAACGGCGAAGAAGAGATTAGGGCTGGTCCGAATACCATTTTTTGAGCTTCGAAGCTTCGGTAGTAATGAACATCGAATATTCGAAGCTTCGGAATCTCTATATATCTGTCTGGATTTGCATTTTGATTATTTCGAGAACCGTTCATCCAAACGACTTCACAGGGAGTGCAGTGTCGTATTTGGTGCAATATAGATAAACAGGCGAGACACGACACGTTCAGAATTAATCAACTTTTAATAAACTACAGAACAGTGCAAGCGGGAAGCGCGCGCGCCTCATGCGAACAGAGCTTAGACGCTCCGAGAACGACACTGCACTAGTGATATAAAACACACACAGGTCTGTTAACTTAAGCAATATTTTTATTAAGTCTTCTAATATTTTTCTCACTAACAAATTACTGAAAAAGTAGGGTAGATTTAATATAATCTTATATGCTCCGAGAATGGACACTGCATATAAAACACACACACACATGAGGTCTTTTAACTTAAGCAATATTTTTAATAAGGTATAGTCTTATAATATTCTCACTGACAAAGTCGGGTAGATTTAAATAAATAAAAACGAAATTTAAATAAAGACAAACGAAAAATAAATGAACGAACCGTAATAGCCTAAATAAAGAACACGGTAGCAATAACAATTTCAAGAACAACATCACAAATTTCTATTAATATTTTGCAGTAGATTAATTTAGATTGATAATAACGGGTAAAAGGGATAATACATTTTGTTTCTATTATTCTATTTTCCACAATGTCAAAGCAACGCAGCTTAACCCAAAACACAAGCTCAGGCACTTCTGCCCATTCAAACTCCGCTGTTCTGCGCTCTAGTCAGAGAATACTCCCGTTGCAGGAACACTTTTAGTAGTCCAAGAAGAAGCAAATATATTTATTAAGTAGCTATAACGAAGTTATATGTTAAGTATTATATTTCACCAGATTTTATAGTGTTAACTGTAAAACATATTCAAGCGCGAATGAGAACCGTTTCGAGGGGGTTGCCAGGTGTGCAAAAAACACACACAAAAAACGAATATTCGAATGTCACATTTTCAAATCGAATACCAACCCACCGAACGAATATTCGAATATTTGGGTCCAGCCCTAGAGGAGATACGCCAAGTAGCGTCTACACTGCCGGGAGGAAATGAGACGAGGAAGATGCGAGGCAAGATGAATGTAGAGCTGCTGGTCTCGTTGCTGTCGGAACATAAAGAACTATATGACAAACCCGACAGCGACTACAAAAATCTTGATAAAAGAGAATGTTATGGAGTGATATTGCAGAGCAAATGGGCGCCATCTAATGTCAGGGAATGAATTTGCATGTTCACTCGGCTCATCGTCAGCCAAAATCGCTTGGGTGTGAACACAAAAAACGCTTTGAAAAACGCTGACGAATAACACGCGCCGATATTCGTCCCGGTGTGTACGAGCCTTTACAAAAGGAATATGCTACAACTTCTGTAAAAATGAATAAATAAAATATAAAAAAATGAAGTGTGCTCCTGTTTTACAGCTTTTCGATGATGTTCACGTCGCGTAATTACGTCACTTCATAACGTTCCCATGGCAACAGGGGGAAACGGCGGCTCTCGTGTGAAGCAAACGCAACATTTTTCAACTTTCTAAGATATATGTGACTTTTTTGCAACGAAAATGCGAGGGTTATGAAATCATGTAAGCCTTGCATATTTTGCACGGAAATCGGCAATTTATGCGGCGAAAGTGCGGCGTATTTGAAAAAATGCGGCCCTCGCATAAATATGCGGATTATGCACCTCCGTTTTTCTGGAGGGACTGAGAACATGCCCTATCAACTTTTCACAACAACATGGAACAAGTCGATAAACTGAGCGTTCGGTAAACTGAGCGTAGAAGTTGACAACTATATCGTGAAGAGCCTGCTATAAACATGTTTCATGAACATAAAACATTTTTTGCATGTTTCAGAAGTGGTGTGATGGCAAGTGCAAGGTGGCCCGAAATGTGCCTGATAGGATGAAAAAGGTTCACATCATTAACCGTCTAGAAAAAATGAACCAAATACTCACACGTCATTGAATTCTTCGAGACTGGTAGCGGGCGAGAACACATCTAGAAGACCAATTACCTGCAACAAGGACAAGAGTCAGAGACACTACTAGATTAAGGTCAAATCATTCAAAGAAGTGTTTGTGCTCTATTCCACTTCCACTGAGTACACACGCTGAACAAATTGTACTGTAAACACATTATACAAGAAAACAAGCTGCACTTGATCATCTGTCATGACTGAAGTTGTTTTCTGCTGTTGGTAAGCGTTCGGCCCATTGCGGTTCCCCTCAGAGGAAACGGCACACAGAGTGAGAGGTGTTGCTTCCACTTGTGAACATCCTCTGCTAGACTCATTTATACTTTGTGTGGGCATCACTTTATCATTGATCTCTCTCTCTCTCTCTCTCTCTCTGCAGGAGGAGGAGAAGGTACATTTTATACTTCTAGTCCAGTCATTTTATGAAAAAAGGTTGAACAAATTGCAACAGAAGCAAACTCAACTGATTTTGTCTCCTCAATATGTCCTGAGTAAGGAAAGCCCCGAAGAATCCCATTAGGGGAAAGTTTCGAAAAGACCCAAATATAGCCTATTCACTCTTTTCCTCACGTGAATAGGGTAAAAATCTAAACCTTTAGATATCATCATGAAAGTTGATTGAGTTGATTACTTACATCAAGACAAACAAAAAATGTATTCCAAGTTTTTTTTAATTGTTTGTTAACATGGACAAACGGTGCATAATCTAATTACGTATGTGCTAATTTGCATAAATACCACAACGGATCTAAACATTGGGTATAGCCGGGTGAAGATGTCTTGTTGAATCTTGTTGACCCCCATTTTGGCTTAAAATGACTTACTATTCTGCCCATGGTAACATTCATGTACCTTGGCCATCGTTGGCTACTATTAATTACACAATTGTTCAAAAGTTTTGAAAGGCTGCATTTATTTGATAAAAAATACGGTTAAAAGATATATATTTTTTAAATATTACAGTTTTCTATTTGAATATAGGCTAAAATGTTAAAAATGTTTTTTTTTCCTGTGATCAAAGCTGAATTTTCAGGATCATTACTCCAGTCTTCAGTGTCACATGATCCTTCAGAAATCACTCTAATATGATGATTTGCCGCTCAAGAAACATTTATGATTATTATCAATGTTGTAAAGTTGTACTGCTTCATATTTCTGTCAAAACGTGATACATTTTTTAGGATTCTTTGATGAATAGAAACAGAATTATAAAAAACACACAGTTTAAAGGTGCTCTATGTAACTTTTAGCGGCCTCTAGTGGTGATGTTTCAGATTGCAATCAAATTTTACAAGAGCGCTCGTGCTCGAACTCATAGACAATACCGTCTATTACGCAAATATCTCGGCGAATACTAGACGGATTCGGCGAGCACCGAGCTCGTTGGGACCATCTAGTCGAGCTGAAAAGAACCATATAAGTTCCATAGTTTTTGGTGGTGTTTTCGCGAAGATATTAGCAGAAAACCGTCGGGCGCGCTGCAAAATTGCGGACGCCGGTGACGTCACGATCTCAGAAGAAAATCGCTCGTATCTCTGGAACGCAAAGACCCAGAGAGCTCAAATTCGGGGGAGGAGGTCCCAGGGGAACCCTTGCCCGAACGCTAGAGTGGCGGGCCTCGGGGATGCCCCCTACCGGATCGCCGTTCGCTGGGACCCCCGATTTCGAACGGCTATAACTCGGGGAGCCGGGCGAGTTGGACCTCGGGGGTGGGCTCGTTCGAAAGGCCCCGTCCAGCACTACGAACGATTAGAGTCTTGGGAATATTGATCAAAGATTGACTGAGATATAAGCCGAAAAACGTGCGCCTTTAACCAGACGTAACTCCCTGAGAGAGGCTCGGGAGCGCACATGCACGTCACATCCGTTGGATTTCGCGGTAAATCCGACCCGGAGACTTCACATAGAAATAGGAATACTGGCCTTCAGAGGTAATAGCAAAACTCGACAAGTGGATCATTTTAATGTGTGATTACAACCCCTTCACCCACAGGCAATAAAAAAAGGATTCATTTTAGTAGAAAAGTTACATAGAGCACCTTTAAGGACTGTGTCATTGAGAATTAATTGCAAACTTGATCATCATGAATAGAGTTGAGAATCGAAAAATCAGGGGGAAAAAACTTGTTATAAAATTAAACATTTGATTCCGCTTATTGATTCCTGTGAGCTCATTTTAATTTGGTTTTAAACCATTTAAGCACAAGACGACGCGAAAGAGAACTCAATTCGGCACTTGTTTTCTGTGCTGGGCTGTTCTCTTTCGCACCTTCTAACACTTTAATGGACAAATACACAGAATTATGTCAAAATATCCTTGTAAACAGTCATTTACGTCTGAAGTGACCATAAACAGTTGAGAAAGAAAACACATGTGTAACAGTATATCGGATCCTGCATTCGGTCTTAAAGTGACGGCAGCCTAATGAACCTGCTGGTGTTTGTGTCAGCAGAAAGTCAAACACGATCTAAAACCGCCACATAAATTAAAAAGACGGTGAAAAGAGGAGAAAACACCATCTTGCGCCAACATAAATGAGAAAGCTTTTTAAACTACTCATGACCACCCATACAAGAATTTATCAAGTTTTATTGTATCTATTAGGGTTGTCAAAAGTACCGGTATCAGTACAATTGTTTTTTAAATATGACGATACCAGCATTTCTGTAGTACCGGTAGTCAAGTCACCTTCATTTATATAGCGCTTTTTACAACACAGATTGTTTCAAAGCAGCTTTACAGTGAAGCAGCATCAGGTAAGTACAGAGTACGGGATATATTCGGTCCCCGCTTACAGGCGGCGGCTTTCAGTCTACCAGATTACCATCATAAATAATAAACTCATTGAATTTAATTTAATATTTCTTTTTCAAATAGTTAAATTAAATAGCTAAATAGTTCCAACAGATTTTGCTGTGGTACCGAAATTGGTACCGAGAATCGTAAAACTGTAATGGTATTGGTACCGACTACTGGAACTTTGGTCCCGTGACAACCCTAGTATCTATTGTGGTAAATTTTGACTAACTTGTGTAGAATAGATAATCGGTTAATGAAATATATTTTTCAATAGAGATTTATATTACATTACAATTGTGGTAGCTATAGTTTCTAAATGTGCAGGTTGCTACATTTCATAACAAATGCTATAGATCAATAAAAAAATCATACTTTTTATTTTACATGGATTCGGTCAGATTTAGTAAGAATATGTTGTTAGTGTGTAATAAGTGGGCAGATAGTTCGCTCCAGTACAGTATTTTATGTAGCCTATATTGGCGAAAGATAGTGTCGATAAATAGCTTTACAGATCATATTTCGCTGCACACAAAGAAAATAGAGTAAGAACAAAAACTCGCTCGCAGCTCGTGTGCCAGTTGATGCCACTGGTTTCAATATGAAAAAGGGTGATTTGAGGGTTATTAAGCATTAACATCTGTGAGACAGAGAGACAGAGCCAGGGAACCTGAAAGTGCGTGCATGAAGGAAAGTGTAGGGAGAGAGAGAGAGAGAGGAATAGAGAGCGAGTAGGTGGCTGTGATCCAGCATAGAGTTTCACCCACGCTCAAACAGAGGCAGCACAGATTCGTGGACTCTGGCCAGAAGGCAAAAAAATAAATGAAGGGTGTTTTCTATGCAAAAACATGGTGAGTGCCTTGACAAAAGCAGGCAATAAATAAGAAAAATCGCATAGGAACTACTGCATGCCTGCTGAAAAACAGCACTTTTGACCTAGGCATTTTGAACACAGCATTACAGAGATCGGTCACAAAACTGTTTTAAAAAGCAAATATTTCACATTATGCATTTATGATCTTGCAGGTAACGCAGCACACTATGCAGTAATAGTGCATAATCTCTCCCCACGCCCTCATTAGCTCTCAGACAATAATCAATAGAGTTTCATAACGCACGGATGAATCCCCCACTGGGATCCGTGCCGGCAGAGGAAGTGAGGTTGCTTAATAGACATGAAAGTGGAAGGAGAGGAAATCACAGATCATGAGCCGCATGCAAGCTCTGTGAGAACTAGAAATACAGTCAGCGCAATCTTACTTGGGAAAAAGAGCAGTTAAAACATCTTCCTTACATTCTCGTGTTTCATGTGTTTCAGCAGCCGCAGTTCTCTGTATGTGCGCTTGGCGTGGATGATGGACTGGAAGGGCCGGGACAGCTTCTTGACTGCGACCCTCAGGCCTGTCTTTGCGTCCAACGCGGAGCTGTGGGGAAAAAGAACACCATGTTATGGATTCGATCAACATCGCAGGCCACAAGATTACAGGAGACTCCAGCTTTTTATGAAAGAGAGAACATATTACTCCGGTACTGCAATGCAATCCCTACATTGGCTACCGGTCAAATTTAGGATTGATTTTAAAATTCTCTTGTTTGTTTACAAGGCTTTGTCAGGCCTTGCCCCCAGTACATCAGTGATCTTATAATTCCTTACTCTCCTTTTAGAGTTCTAAGGTCCTCCGATCAACGACTTTTAAAGGTACCTCGTTGTAATTTAAAATCAAAAGGAGATCGTGCTTTTTCCGTGGTAGGTCCCAAACTTTGGAATAGTCTCCCATTCCATGTGAGGTCAGCTCCATCGATTACAACTTTTAAGTCTTATTTAAAAACTTATTTATTTTCTTTAGCTTTTGAATAAAGTATGTCTGCTTTGTTGTATGACTTTTATGTTATTATTCTGTAAAGCACTTTGGGGCAACGTCTGTTGTTTAAAAAATGTGCTATATAAATAAAGTTGCTTGCTTGCTTGCTTGCTCCTAGATTCACAAGCACTGATGTTGTAGGAAAGAAACAAGAACATTACTAAAAAGCTGGAATAACTGGTTTTAAAAGCATAAAATGCACCGTTACCATAACAAAAGTGGTACGTTTCATACAGCAAGAGTAAGAACATGAATTATCATATGCAAATTAGATTCTCATACGCCTCCCTCCTCCAAAAACATGCCTTTTTACAACCGTCTAGATTTAATAACACAGAATGTGCTTTGTTTGGAAAGCCTTAAATATCAGCATCCTTCTCCTCTCAGGAAAAACATGGTGGGAAGACTGATCCTCGCTCGCTATTAGCAATTTTCCAATTTTATATGATTTGCCTCGGGACTTCAGGGACATATTTAAGAAAAATGATGCTGGGAAAAGTGTATCTGAGATTGTGGGGATTGCAAATAGGGTTAAATCTGTAAAATTAACTATTAACGCATTTGTGTTGAAATGTGTTACATGCATGACATCAAATAAAACCGTATAAATGATCAGATGTAGTGAATAAATGTACCGTATTAGCAACCTCACAGGAAAACGGATTCACTGTCTGTCAACAACACTGGAATGACATCCGTGAATGTCGTTCATAAACGTTACCAGGCAAACAGTAGTGGGACATCCCACTAGCGACCTGGACCTTAAAGGGTTAGTTCACCCAAAAATGATGTCACATGGACTACTTTGATGAAGTCTTTATTTCCTTTCTGGACAAGGACAGTATACCGTACACACATTTACAATGGAGGGACAGAAAGCTCTCGGACTAAATCTAAAATATCTTAAACTGTGTTCTGAAGATGAACGGAGGTCTGACGGGCTTGGGACGACATGAGGGAGAGTCATTAATGACATCATTTTCATTTTTGGGTGAACTAACGCTTTAAGAGGCGATGATGTAGAAGTAGACGTTGATCTTTCGTCACACTATGGCGTAATAATGTGACAAAATCTGAAACGAGTCTTTTTCTGAGCTTGGTTTAAATAAAAGCTGGTTTTGGACTAGTGAGAAAGCTTTGAGCTCTGAAACTTACAAGATCATTTTATAGTGCAATGACGTGTTATATGTCAAAAGATGACCCCTTTAAGTGAATGTAAACAGTTGAGAGAGAGTGCATATGTATCAGTATATTAGATCAGTGTATTCAGTTTTACAGTTAATTTACACATACACTATTATACAGTGTTTTTTCAGCGTATTAAATTACTTATACAAAGTATGTAATGTTTCTTATTCAGTGATTGAAGTTGTCAGGTAGGTCTTTGTTCTATAGTATTGCTTGTAAATATTTTCTTCATTCTTTTTTTATTACTGATTGTTACCTTGTCTTCAGTTCAGAGTTGTTGTTTTTTACTTAATTTCAATTGTATCAAACATTTTTATTTAAAAAACTTATTTAAAGTAAAATTACCTATGAAATAAAACTACTCATATTGTGATAAGATTTTGATCATATCGCCCACCCCCTATGTTTAATGTTATTATAGATCATTTTTTATTTTTTTTAAATCTGAAAGGATAGTTAAATCTTCCCAACTAGAGTCCCCCAGTGAATCTCACCCTTGTCCATCCGGCTCACTAAGATTATTGGCATTTGTCATCAAAAAAACAATATTGGTTATACAACCACTATCTAAAAATCTGATTAATACAGGCCATATACCAACTGTAATTTTCAGATTTCTACAAATCATAATATAAGCATAATCTGGTAATGGTTATGCATATTTTGTTAAATATATATATACCGTAACCGTATATATACACATTTTGTTTTTTATTAATATAAGAATATTCATGTATATGTAATTCTTATTTACAATTTCAACCAATCATCTACATTACAAAACAATGCTCAATTCACAAAGCATGGCTAAGAAAACGGTCATCATACCAAACAGCCTCCGGCCCCTATCCCGTTTTCCACATTAGAGGAGCAGTGGCCGTGGCGGCTCAGGCTTCTGCGGTCAGGAGAGCCAACAGGCTTTCTGGGAAGTGTGTGTAGGCCAGTTTTGCAGATGGAGGAGCCTGAGTTTCTTGCACTATTACCATTCTCCTAAGAACACACCTCGCCAAAGCGTCTGCCCGCCCAGACAAATAATAACACACTGTCACACACAAACCCACAAGACACCATAATGGAAACAATAGCCATTTACATGCACTCTAAAATTACCAATTAAACCATTAATTCCTGTGTATTTTCAGCATCATTACTCCAGTCTTCAGTGTCACATGATCCTTCAGAAATCACTCTAATATAAAAATGTGGGTAAAACTTTTGTATGCATAAATACACACAAGGTTTATTATGGTTAACTTAAAACTACAACTATTAAAAACACTCCGGTTAATTGAAATAAAATATTAGTTGCAAAAATTAAAAAATGATGCCTTCCGGAAATAAACGGAAATATGTTTAAGTTGAAGCACTGTAATTATTAACTGGGGGGAAAAACTAAAACTGAAATAAAATAAACCTTATTAAAAAAAAAATTTTTTAGACTAATAAAATGACAAAAGCACATACAAATTATCATGACAACTAAAAAAATATATAAAAATGAAAGCTAATTCAAAATATTAGAAAAACTAATACACGCAGGATATATATATATATATTATGTTTGTTCACTAAGGCTGCAGTTATTTGATCAAAAATACATTAAAACATATTGTAAACTAGTATAACAATTTTTTTTTTTTTTTTTGCATGGACACACTGTACCATCAGATCACACCCTTGGAAAAATGTGTGGCCATGTGAAGGAACACATGCAAATCTTTGCGACGCAAAAGTATTGAAATGACTTGCTAGGATAAATCACGCTCAGACATGCTACAGTTTTGACAGACACACAATGCCAACAGTGAGTGTACAGCTTTATAGCCGAGTCTTGCACTGATGTTCCTCTTCTAGACTCTTACATAAGGAGCAGTGCGTGACTCACACTAGCTGGACGAGGGATCTAGGCACAGCTGAAGTCTCTCCACTGCAGACGCTAATGGGTGTGGTGGTGGTGTTTATGGGAGATATCTACTTACACACGCATTGTGAACAGACGGCTACAGACTGAACATTAGGTACAGTTAGCCAGTGATATCTGCTAGAAGACAGCACAACATGCATGCTGGGTCTAATCCAAAAGAAAGATCTAGTAGAGAAAGAGTCGAGCCAATGACTCAGTGCTTATTGTGAAACATGGGAAACCACCACAGAGCACAGGAAAAGTCCCATTTCTGGTTATCCTCTATTAACTCAAACCATGAACAGCCTATAAACAACATCCATAGATCATCATCAGCTTTCATAGATACATTTTTGTTCACAGTAGGGCTGCGCGATGTATCGTTTAGCATCGATATCGCGGTGTGCGCATCCATGATAGTCACATCGCAGGACGTGCGAAGTCAAGTATAGGGATCGTAGTAATAACAGTAAACAACTGAGAAAGAAAACGGATGCATATCATTCATTATATTGGATCCGTGCATTCGTCTTAACATTCACTCTCAGCAAACCCATGTTAATCAAACAACAAAAGAGAAAGAGAAAATGACTTTTGCAGCTTTAACAAAGATAATTCATTATATTTCATTTATACAGTGAAGAAGACTATGCAGTGTTATTTTACATTTGATTATTAATTCATTCATTAATTAAAAAAAATAAAGCACTGTTTATTTAATTTATATATCTTTGTTCTATTGTATTATTTATCTATTTATTACTTTCTATGCAGATTTACTCCATTACAAAATGATTCTAGAATGATTCATTCTTCCCAAAGCTATTCAAGTCATCTGGTGAAATTGGTTTTATATCGCAATATATATTGCCGAAAAATAAAATATCGCAATGTCATTTTTTCCCAATATCATGCAGCCCTAGTTCACAGACATAACCGACTGAGTTTGTTAACTTTTTTTTTTTTTTTTACACAACCTTGTGTGTATTTGACAGTTTAAGTGCAATAACATAAAGAGAAGACTTAGTGTAATACTCACAGGACGCGCCGTCTGACATTCAGCTTTCTGTGCGCATGCGGCTCAGAAAACCACATATCAGAAGTTCAGACCGAGCCTTTAAAACGCATGCTGATAATAAACGTTCATGATGAAGAACTGCAATGATAATCAAAACCAAACAGATGTTTTTAGCTTTTGGCAAAGTGTCCGAGGCTGGAAAGCGGGGTGGGAAACAGCAGCTCATTTGCATTTAAAGATACATGCACGAAAAAAGCATGTTCTTCCTTTTATCCTTCCACTCAAAAATCATTTACAACATGGTATAAGAAAAGATCTGTGGGGTATTTTGAGTTGAAACTTCAAAGACACATTCTGGGGACGCCTGGAAGTTATTACATCTTGTAAAAAAGGGGCATAATAGGTCCCCTTTAAAATTAACTTCTTGTTTATTGAACTGTTGTATAAAATCAA